TTTTCTAAAATTTATAATTCCAGCTTAAAAAACTATAACTACTGTATTATTCTACAAAAATGTTTCCTTATTTTGTACTTTAAATAAAATTTACAGGAGAAAAGATGCCGACCGTAGAGCAACTTTTTTTTCTTTTTGTTGTGAATCATGTTATTTTTTATAGAGTAATATTTTTAAAATTGAGTAAAATATCATTTTTTATAAAGTTTCAATATCAATAAACAATGTGTACACTCTATATTTATTAATTTGTATTGTCATCCTTTCAAAAAARAATGTTTTATTTGTAGCGCATTCTTAACGCTCCTAGACCTCTGTRAGGCCTCAATGAGGTATTAAGTCATATATTTGTATAGAGGGGGTAAAGGGCTGAACAAGAATGTAAGTATTATATTATCTAAAACTGGCGAGTTATAGTCGCGTTTTTTGAAAAATTATTTGTAGCTGTAAGTTTKGTATTTAAAATGTTTTAAAGTTATACTTTTCTTGGCGCGTTTGGGAAAAAATAATATGAGTGAATTCTTATGATGAGGGCGCATTACGACCAAAACAAACTTTCGAATGCGATCGAAGTCTTTCGATATTTACGATGCTCGGACAAAGCGATTTCAAACTTACGGCATGAAGTAATCCAATATATCTCCGCTACAGCTAGTGGAGACTTTTATCTATATTCTGATATTATTTTATTACTAATAGACCAGTCAATAAGAGGCAAATAGGAAACTTTAGGGTCTAGGGCAGTTACAAATTGGCACAATGGTAATTTGACGACGTTGAATCGAATGGTGCTAAATTTTTGCAACATTATAGACAATTTACGAGAAAAAGGGTAAAAAAGGGTAAAAAATGACCGTATCTTAGAACCTAGGCATTTAATCGAAAAAAGTTTCAAACAATAGTTGTGCAGAATTTAAAAATACATTAAAAATTATGTAGGGTTTATATTCGTATTCGTAAAAATATGCGAGAAATATTGGTAAAACTGATTTTAARAGTGGGAGACAAGCCCAGCCTCTTCTTTGGTCTTTACACGCGAGGGAGCTATTGTGCATTACCTCATGCACAACCTCATGCATTACCGATCTCGGTCGTAAATACAGGAGCAAGTGAGAAAAGAAATGGATATTTCTTTGTTTCTATTTGTTCATGCGATAGCGATTATTTTTGTTTAGCCCATCGATTGTTGAGTGTTCTATATTATATATCTATGATATTTTTTCATGCTGTAGCGAAAATTTTTCGTCTTGGCCATCGAGTGTCGAGCGTTATGTATACGAGTGCAAGTGAGACAAGAAACCGATATGTCTCTCTTTTTATTTTTTCATGCTGTAGCGAGAATTTTTCGTTTTGACGATTGAGTGACGAGCGTTCTGTATATCTATATATATCGGCGTATAAGAGCGGCATATTTAAATCAAATCTTGATGCTTAT